TTAACCCTTTAACTGTCACTCACATTTTTGAACATAGACGTGAAAGTGCACGATCCAAACTTAAATTTTTATAATTCATGAACGAAAACAATTTGTAACATATTGATGTACCATTTTCATGGTAATGCAATGTTTGATTTTAAAATGGGTTTCAAAGGATGAATTTTGAGATTTAAAGTTTTTAATTAATATATCATTTCTGATTATTTCTAAAGTGTGATCGAGAAAAAGACAACAACGAAGACTTTTTTTGACGAAGGTCAGAACTCCTGTTATGTAGATTTTTGAGGTGCACTCTTGTCATAAATTAATCTATTACTTTTCCTACATAGATATTTTACCAATGTTTTTGTAAAAAAATATGTTGGAGTCTTAGACCTTTCCAACGATATATAGTTTGTCATGATTAGATTAGGATTTAATTGTAATATAGTGAAGTAAACTTAGGCATCCCACAGAGACAGGGTGACAGTTAAAGGGTTAAATAAAAAATTTAACAAATTATGGCAGTAAAAATAAAATAAATCTGTTAAAAACACACAATATAATATATCATTATGACCATAAATTCAAATAAATAAAATAAATCTGAAAAAAATATATATATATTTTTTAAATACGCTTTTTAAATTGTATGGCCATATATGGCTAAATAAATAAATCTGTAAAAAATACAAATAAAATAAATACTTTTTTTTATTTTTCGGTCATAATTTAAAATAAAACATAAATAATATACATAAATCTCTAATCTGTTAAAAAAAAAAAAAAAGAGCACACTTTTTAACAAATTTTAACACAAAAATAAATCGGTGATCTATAAATAAAATAAGACTTTTTAAAATTTACAGCCATAAAATTTAAGCAAAATAAATCTGTAATGTGTTAAACACAAAAAGCGAGATACTTTCTTTTTTATAACTATACATTTTCAAAAAGTCTGTATTTAGGGCCATTACATGCAAATTAAATGCAAATTTACAAAAATTTATGAATGTGAAAGTGTGTATTAATGCAACATAGACGTCCAAGTTTTTCCGCAAAGTTTGTGTCAAAACAACAAATGTTCAACAAGAAGATCATGCAGAACCATGTACATGGGCATGAAACGCCCTAAATATACATTTGTTTTTCTATCACGTGATAAAACAGAAATAGAGAAATCTACAGGCACACTGGGTTCCCGCTTGTTCTGTAAACATTTGTGAATGTTGCTGCTATTATAGCAGGGACCCGACACATATCAAGAATTTTACAATTTCACTGGCACTGTTTGGAAAAATAGTGATATCACAATACAGAAGTGCAAACACAAGCACTGTTTTCTGACCTTGAGTCCGAAGGTGAAGATGGTCATGATGATTTTGAAGACGAGCGCCAGGCTGAGCTGCCACATGGCCGAGTAGACGCCGGGGGCAGCGGCGGCGTCCGATCCCTCGGAATACGCCTTACTGCCGTTCATCTGGCTGCGGTACTGGCAGAGCTGAGACGACTCCAGCGGCCCGCAGTCCGTGAACAGCTCTTTGATCAGCTCGCTGGTGTTCTGCCGCGTGTACGGGTTCGGGAACGCCACGATAGCCGTGATGGCAGCGACCGTGATCACCTCCAACACCGGATACTTACCTAAAAATCATGCTCATATAAATTGATCACTACATAAAAAAAACATTGCTTAAAATAAAACGTCAACTAAATAAAATATATATAAAAAAATCTTAAAATTCATTTTATTTTCATTTTCGTAGTTGAAAATTAAAACTAAAGCTTGATGAAAAATAAATAAATAGAAACACTAACCAAGATTATGATTAACTAAAACCGAAACCATATAAAAAATGCATTACTTAAAAACTTGAATTGAAAAAAAAAAAAAAAAAAAAGCTAGTTACCAAGAGAACATTTCTCGTTGTTGTGTAGTTTAAATCCAAATATAAACTAAACTAAATAAAACTGAATAAACTAAAAATAAAAACTTAAAAAAACAAATAGACATATTTTGAAAAACAAAAAGTAATAAAAATATCAAAACAACAAAATTACAAAAAAAAAAAAAGATTTATGTGAAAACAAAATATAAAAATTTTATTTAATTCGAGATATTAAAAACTATTTGTTAAAACATTTGATAAAAACACAAATAAAAGACACTTTTTTTCAAATATGTAATGTTAAAAACAAATAAAAATGTTAAATAAAAGAGAAACTTAAAAAAAAAATTTTTATAATAAAAAAATAAATATGTAATCCATTAAAACATACATAAAATATACTCTTTTAAAAAATTGCGTGGCCATTAAATGGAAATAAATAAAATGCATAAATCTGTAATAAACAAAATAGAGAGACAACAGATAACGGATTTTATTTACATTTTATGGCCATTAAATAAAAAAAATCTTTTTTTTGTGGTTTCAAAAAACATTTTTTTTTTTTGGTCATAAAATTTAAATAAACTGGCCACTAAATCTTAACAAAACCCTTAATAGTGTATTCTAGTGTTGTCAAAAGTACCAACGTTGGCACTGCAATTTTAAAAACATCCATTTCCCGCTAATATCTCGGATTCATAGACACCGCTTATAGGCCATAGTGTTAACGGATATGACTGTGATTATTATTATTAAATGCAGTACCGACTAGAACACTAACCCCGGGTTTCACAGACAAGGCTTAAGCCTAGTCCCAGACTAAAATGTAAGTCTAAGCTGTTTCAACTGAAAGAAACTTGCACTGACTGATCTTAAAATATATCATTGCCTTTTGTTTTGTCTCAAGATGCACACCAGTAATGCTTATTTATAAAAAATGACTTAAATGTCCTAATTGAACTATGGCCTAATCCTGGCTTAGTCTAAGCCCTGTCTGTGAAACCAGACCTAAGTGTATGCATGTAACTAAAACACTGACACTAATTGGGGCGGCACAATTAATCGAATTTCTAATCGCGATTACAATTATGGATGCCACAATTACGTAATCGTTCAAAGCGGCAATTAATCGTTTAAAGTCCACTTATGTTATTCTGCACGCTTAAGATATGTTTTTTTCTTTCTACATGTTATCTTAAGGGTTTTTCCATTGTTTTAGTATAACATTATAATACCACTCATATTTTTACTTTTTTATAATTTAAAGAAGAAACCAATCCGATGTATTGTTGACATTTGAGGCTTAACTATTGAAAAGCACTAAAGGTTTTTCAGTTAGAGTGTTTTCAGTTTGTTTATTTTCATATAAAAATACGCCATGCAGTTGCATCAAACAATGGTATAAACATCATTCAATGTAAATTGTGATAATCGTAATTAATAAATCGCAATTACAATTTCAAGGGAATAATCGACCATTATGATTTCTGTCATAATCGTGCAGCCCTAACACTAATGCAAGCGTCATGTGCGTACCGAAGCGTGTGGACTTGCGGCGGCGGCACCAGGCGATGTTGGCCCGGATGAAGAAGGCTCCCCACAGGCCTCCAAACACCCCCAGCAGGATGAAGGGGAAGAGCTCGAACAGGTACCAGGGCGTGTGGTACTCCACGTAAAACAGCACCAGACGACTGTTTCCGAACGGGTTGATGGAGCGCAGCACGAATGCCGCCACCAGAGCCGCGAAGAACGAGCGCCACAGAGTCTTCAGAGGGAAATAATAGCTCACCTGAGAGAGAGAGAGACACACGTATTAATGCATTAATTCAACTCATTAAATAAAGACAACAATTTTTAATGCACATAAAATGTAAATTAAAAAAAATAATCGGCTACTAAGGGAAAAGGTGGATAGCGGTTGCTGGATAAACAGAAGATTGATTCAACGTGACTAATAAACACACGACTACGACAATATATGGTTTATCGGAGTTCGTCTTATAATTTTTATTATAATAAAGTATATAATAATAATGCAATGCTAATCAACATTTATCACTGCTTATAACACTATGAAATATGTTGTGTGCCTTATTCTGTGTAAGAAGCCACATCATCTCACAGAAGGATTTATTTCAAACACTCGACTGACGTTATGAAGTGAGTTTGGAGTAAAAATATGTTATTAAATGTGGTATTTTCACATGCTTTCAGATGGAGCAGCATTTACTTCACAGAGCCGCAGTTCCCTGAGAAGCTATGCAAACAGCTGTCATTATCGCGAACGATTTCTTCAATTTCAGAATCGTGCAATAAAATCGTCTGCCATTTTTTTGCGTAACTTGTCAGTGAACTACAGCTATGCTCCATCTGAAAGCACGTGATGATGATTTCCTGCTGATTACAGAACCGGCTTTACTAACAAATTGCGCATGACAATCGCATTCGATTAATCGTGCAGC